CAAGTCAAGCCTTCTCTCTGCCAGACTCACTCCTCCCCCTCCCACCTCCATCCTGCACCCCGCACCCCGCACCCCCGCCCCGCACCCCGCCCAGCTCCTGCAGCCTTTCGGCATGAGACTGGTTTCCAGGTGACCATCTAAAGGGGGGCCCGAATCCCCCGGCCGTGGGCAGGCTGAGAACACCCACACACACAGGACCCCCAGTGCCCGAGCTCGGTCCCAGGGTTTCTGTGGGTTCCCATGAGCACAGCTGGCTCTGCCACCTCTGTCCCTGGCAGCCTCGCCTCCCTCCTGACTCATCCTCAGCCCACAGGCAGCGGGAGCCCCAAGTCTCTTCCCCTGAACTGCTCTGAGCCACGTCTCCCCACTTTGCTTTAAACCTGAGCGCCAGGATTGTCCTTCTCCAGGTAGTTCCCCCGGCGGGAAGCCAGCCACCACCCAGCCTGGCCCGCGCCCGGCCTCACACGGGGTCTCTCCCCGCCCTGTCTTCCGGGCAGCGCTGGGCACAGCCCGCACGGGCAAAGGCACCTCCTGCCAGGGTGGCCCTGCTCCCCCCGGGGACTCCACGGAGCCACGGAGCCACGGAGCCACGGGGCCACGGGGCCACGGGGCCACGGGGCCACGGGGCCCGGGGCCCGGGAGGCCTGGTGGTCACGGTCAGCCACACGGTGGCTGAGAGAGCCCCCTGCTCCGGCGGGCAGTCTGGTGACGGATGTTGAAGTTGGTTTGAAACGTCCCGTGTCAGCAGCTCCCACACCTCGGGGACCGTGAGAACCCCGAGCGGGGCTTTGACGGAACCCGTTCCCAGGTCCGTCTGCAGTTTCTCAACACGCCGGCCCAGGGTGGAGCCCGAGCATCTGGGGCTGTGACTCCCCGCCGGCTCTGACCGGTCCCACTGCCCTTTCCGACGCCCACGCACAATTGCTTCCAGAAGCCGGGTCTCCAGCTCTCCAGCGAGGTCCTCTCTGCAGCCCGGGACGCGCCCTCTGGCCGTGGCCTCCGGCCCAAAGCAAGTGTCAGTTCCGGAACTGACAGCTGGGGACAGGGAAGGGTGAGCCTCCAGGGTCCCTCACTCAGGGCCCTCTCCTGCCGGCCGGTCACTCTCTCATCCCACCACGGCCCCCCGATTCTGAAGGAGGGAGAAGGCAGGGCAGCCTGGGGCGTGCCAAGCTGTGAGTGAGGGGGGCTCTGCCTCAGGGCCCGAGGAGGGCGAGGAGGGAGGGCGAGGCCTGGGCCCCAGGTGCAACAGGTAATGACCCACACACAGCCATCACGACAGAGAGCATGCAATGCCCTGGTTTTTAACCAAACAACTCTACGATGAACAAAATACCAAAACCATAAGGGAGGTGAGTAATGGCGCCAGCCTGCCAGAGCCTGCGATAGAGGAATAGTCAGCCACAGAGATGATGCAGAGAGGGGAGAGGTCAGAGCATGCGCTACCTGCTCCTCCCCACCGGCTGCAGCTGGCAGGCCCTCTCCACCCCTGTGGCCACACAGCGGCCTTAGCTCCTCTGTGCTGCTCTCTTCCCAAAGTGCTTCCCACCCCTCGTCCTCCATCACCCAGCCCGCTCCTTGGAAAATGTCCCTGAATTAAACAGTCCCCCATTGAGAGAGAGAGAGAGAGAGAGAGAGAGAGAAGGGAACAAAGGAAAAAAGGATGCAGAGCCCTAACTGGTTTGGCTCAATGGATAGAGCCTCCCTGCCTGTCAAGTGGCTGAAGGGTCCCGGGTTCGATTCCGGTCGAGGGCATGTACCTTGGTTGCGGGCATATCCCCAGTAGGAGGTGTGCAGGAGGCAACTGATCCATGTTTCTCTCTCATTGATGTTTCTAACTCTCTATCCCTCTCTCTTCCTCTCTGTTAGAAATCAATAAGATGTATAAATAAATAAATAAATAAATAAAAAGGAAAGAAGACTGAGAAAATCTCCAAAAAAGTGGACCAACAATAACATGCAAACTAACACATAAACAACAAAAAATGTGTCGGCCGTCGTGGCTCTGTCGTGGCTCTGTGGTTGAGTGCCAACCTATGAACCAAGAGATCAAAGTTCCATTCCTGGCCAGGGCAAGCACCTGGGTTGGGGACTCCATCCCCGGTGGGGGGCGTGCAGGAGGCAGCCCATTAATGATTCTCTCCCATCATTGATGTTTCTGTCTCTCTCCCTCTCCCTTCCTCTCTGAAGTCAATAAAAATGTATTTCAAGAAATTAAGTAAAATAATGCAAAGGGACAGACAAGCATCAGAAGAGAGAAGAAAGTCTGAGGATTGTTTGGGGGGAAAGACATCAAACCCAGGAAACTGTGGGAAGAAGAGAATGCGGCAGGGAGACGCTTAGCAGAGAAATGCAGAGGACGGCTCCCCGGAACGGGTGAATTTGAGTCTCTAGGTGGAAACTGCCCATCAAACATGCAGCCACAACAGGGCCCTCCTCCTCAGAGGTTGCAGGGAACTCCCGGAAGAGGGGGAACAGGCTAAAACGGGGGCGTAAGAATGGCACCAAACCCCTCTGCAGCGACATTGGAAGCCAGAAGACAATGCTGAGGTGCCTGCAAGCTTCCGAAGGAAATTTATTTTTAACCTAGAATTCTATATTCAGCCAAACCATCAATCATGTGTGAGACAGAATGAAGGTATTTTCAGACACGCAAGCTCTCAAAATCATTCTCTGCCCCGTGTAACCTTTCTCAGGAAGCTAACCAAACGAGGGGGAGAAGCAGGAACAACACAGGGTCAACAGAGCAGGCCGGCCCAGCTGGCGTGGCTCAGTGGTGGAGCCTCGACCTGTGAACCAGGAGGTCACGGTTCAATTCCCAGCAGGGCACAGGCCCAAATTGTGGGCTGATCCCTAGTGTGGGGCATGCAGGGGGCAGCCGATCAATGATTCTCTCTCATCATTGATGTTTCTCTCTCTCTCTCCCTCTTTCCCCCTCTCTGAACCCCTCTCTGAAATATATATATATATATATATATATATATATATATATATAATTTTTTTTTTAAGAGAGAACAGGATACCCACACAGGAGAGAGACCAGAGGTCCCAACGAAGAAGGAGAGGTCCAGGATGGCTGTGGGGAGGCAGGGGAACACAGCACAGGTTGGAGCAGGACTGTGGGAGGTTTGGGGGGCCGGGGGTCACAGGGGAGAACTGGCAGGTTTGACCACCCCGAAAATTATAACTGAGGCTGTTAAACAACAAAATTCAAGAGCACATTGTAAATATCTTATTGGTCTCATTGAACTATTCATGAATCGGGCTGCATCCCATCTAGCGGACAGAAGGAGGTTTCTAACCAGGAATGGGTTGTCCTTGTCAAGGTCACCTTCTCCCAGGGGCTGACAGGGGGTCTAGCGAGCCGTGTACCTCATTAGAGCTGACCAGGCTGTTCCAAACTGGCTGCTTAAGATTCCCCTCCTGGGAGAGGCGGAAGCTGCAATTAAATTAGGCGTTACGTGTTGTTTTTCTGTCTTGTGGGTTTAGCACAAGGGACTCCATGTTGAGCCTGTGGTCTCTTCTGCAGCAAGGCCGATGGGCGTGTGAGAACACAGAGCTGCAGTAAGTACAGAAAGCGAAGCAGGTGGGGAGGGTGAGGACCCAGGAAAAAGAATAGTTACGTAAGAAGGTCAACAATGCTGTCATCCTGCTTGGATTAGTGGTGAGCAATATTCCCACGATTACCATGATCTAAAGCAGAGCACGTAGATTTAACAGAAATATTGGGGAGTATGTAAAAGGCAGGTCACCTACATGACAGGCAGCCCACACATAACATGTAAACGGAGCGATCAGGAGGCAGAGAACGCGCAGGGTTCCTGAGAAATGAAGAGGGACCACCTGCAGAAACGCTGAAGCCCAGGCTCCTCTGAGTCTTGTGTGTGTGTGTGTGTGTGTGTGTGTGTGTGTGTTTAATATATTTTATTGATTCTTTACAGAGAGGAAGGGAGAGGGATAGAGAGTTAGAAACATCGATGAGAGAAAAACATCCATCAGCCACCTTCTGTACACCAACTACCAGGGATGTGCCCGCAAACAAGGTACATGCCCTTGACCGGAATCGAACCTGGGACTCTTGAGTCCGCAGGCTGGTGCTCTATCCACTGAGCCAAACCAGTTAGGGCTGTGTCTTGTTTTTTAATCTTAGCATTATTTGTCCTTTTTGACTATCTATAAACACTTATTTGATTTTTAAAATGTTATGAAAACATAAAGAAATATATACCAAGAAACACATCCTCTTGTTCCTTCTCGTTTCAGAGTTTTTTAGCATCCGGAAAATTCACTCCTTTACTCTCAGCCACACTCACATGCGCGCGCATACACACACTCATGATAGACATAAAGAGCTCATGGTGACAGACAACAGGAACGTGTCATAATCACCAAACCCCTCAGACAGCATGCAAACACACTCCTGCCAACACGCGCACATGAATATAGACTCCCCCACACATATGCAGAGGCCCCCCCGAAAGCCTCCTGGCCTTGATTCCCCTGACCTCCTCCTGCCCCACCCCCAGAACTGCCCCAGACAGAAGCGGGCCCCTCCTGGGACTTCACCCCCATTGCTTCCTCTGCTCAGAGTTCCCTGCCCCGAGGCTGAGCAGCCTTGAGCCCTTTGGGAATCCTCGGTCTGTGGATGGCACAGAGGAGGTCAGGAGGGGCCAGAGCTGGCAGCTGGAAAGCCCCCTTCATTCAGCTTTTGCTGGAGGCCCTAAGCAGGGGAAGAGTCCGGTGTCAGGACACGCTGTGCGTCCTTGAGCAAATCACCTTACCTTTCTGGGTCCACGAGGAAGTAGGCAGCCTAGGTCACTCTTGAGATGCCAAGAGGTCACGACCCAGGCTGGGCCCCGTTCCATCCCATCCCATCTAGATCCCCAGCTTCACTCCGGCCTCCAGGGCCCACACCAAAGAACAGGCGTTTCTAACGAGTGTGCATGGCCACCTGGCGGCCCCCCACCGCCACTCCCTCCCCCTCCTGTGCCCCCAGCACTCACCACCACCCTGGTCCTGTTGTCCGGCAGGGTGTCAATGGCCAGGGTGCCCCCGCCCAGGTCCTGGCTCAGCTGGGTCCTGTCCGGCTCGGACACCTGCCCGGGGCTCTCTCGGGCTCTCCGATTCCAGCCCTGAGAGGTGCCCTGGGCAGCCCATCCAGAGGCGTGGCCTGCATCCTGACCTGGGAGAGAAAACAGGAAGGTGAGACCTGGGAGTCTGGGGTGAAGGATGGGGAGGGGAACCAGCCCACATGCTCTGCCGAGGCCACCACTGCCACCACTGCCTTCGGGGACACTGACTACCAGGACGGGGGCCACACCACATGCACTGAGAGACAGGTACCCAGCTCCCCTCCTTTTTATATATATTTTATTGGTGTTTTTTTTTTACAGAGAGGAAGGGAGTGGGAGAGAGAGTTAGAAACATCGATGAGAGAGAATCATCGACCAGCTGCCTCCTGCACACCCCCTACTGGGGATGTGCCCGCAACCAAAGTGCATGCCCTTGACTGGAATCGAACCTGGGACCCTTGAGTCCTCAGGTCGATGCTCTATCCACTGAGCCAAACTGGTTAGGGCGCACTCATGACTCTTTCAGTCCTCACTCCAGCCCTCCACTGTAGAGAGGATGCTCTCCATTTCACAGACAGAAACCAGCTCCCAGAGGTTAGAGAGGGTCACACAGCAGGTACGCTTCAAACCCAGCTAGACCTGCCTCCAAAGCGGTGATTATTCTCAACCTCAGCTGCACTGGGATCATCTGGAATCTTTAAAAACCCCTGATGCCCGTGTCCCATCCCAGAGACTCTGGTGTAGTGCAGACCGGGGTCCGGCCTGAGCACTGGGATTCTTAAATGGTCCCTAGAGGAGCTACTGAGAAGCCTGGCCTTGGTGGCTCAGTGGGTGAGCATTGACATAGGAACCAGGAGGTCCTGGTTCGATTCCTGGTCAGGGTATGTGCCCAGCACAGGATTGGAAAATGGTGGCACCCAGGCCATTGAGCAGCTGTCCCTAGACTAGTATTCTCCCAAATTCCCTTATTATTTTTATTCTAAATGACACAGATACCATGCTTGTCCATCCCAGAAAGATGGAAAGAGATGTGTCCTATATTGTCACTCCAATAGCCACCCCCACAAGGGATGTGTGTACGAGACACAGACCACCAGGCTAGTGCACCTGCTAGTCCCCGCGACCTTCATCAACGACAGGCCCACCTGTGTCAGAGGCCTATCTCCACCCACTCCCCAGAGCTCCCGGATGTAGGTCTCTTTGCTGGAGCATCTGGTGGGGTAACTACCTGCCTGTCTGTCTCCCTGCTGCCCCAAGACCCTCCCACCTTCTGCACACGAGGATCTTCGGGGCCTAGCAAACACGAGGCGCTCAGTCGCTGCCTGATTGAGCACATGAGCTGGAGGTAGCATGGGAGCCAGCAAGCCCAGAGCCTGAGACAAGGTTTGGCCAGGACCGAGGCTGGGGCCGGGGCCAGGACTCTTTGCTGGGAGGCTCTGGTTTGTCATTAGACATTTTATCCAATTAAGTCATTCTTGGCTGCTGGCGCCTGCTGGACCCTTGCCGGCCCCCCTTTTACTTCTCCGCCCCTAATCGCAACCAGATGCTCTGGAGAAGCCGGGCAGAGGGGCGGCCTCCAGACCCCTTCCCCGAGGTGCCCACTGGCTGCGATGGTGCCGAGCCCAGGGCTGGGAAGACAGCCTGCCCTTGGTCCTCATCCCAAGCCGGGGCTGCCTCGCGATTCTGGGCGAGGCCCACAGCCGCCCCTGGAAGCGGAACTGTTTATGCTGGGCTGGTGCGCCCGCTCCCCTGTCCTCCTGCGGGCAGCCCTGGGGCCTGGGCGGGAGCCAGGGCAGGAAAGGAGCATGTACAGGGCGAGCCGGGGAGCCGGGCAGCCCGGGCTGGGACACTGGGATTGGCTGGCATCACAATCCTGCAGCCGAGACAGGAGGGGGCCTGCATGGTGGGGCCCGAGGCCTGGGGAGAGGGCAGGGAGGGGGTGCCCAGCTAGAGGTGGGGTTGGGAGGACACACCTGTACCCACAACCTGTGCGACCTTGGACCCAACAGTTCATTTCTCTAAGCCTCAGTGTCCCCACCATGAAAATGGGGACAATAACCTTGCCTATGAGCCGAAACCGGTTTGGCTCAGTGAATAAAGGGTCGGCCTGTGGACTGAAAGGTCCTGGGTTCGATTCCAGTCAAGGGCATATACCTTGATTGCGGGCACATCCCCAGTAGGGGGTGTGCAAGAGGCAGCTGATCGATGATTCTCTGTCATCGATGTTTCTAACTCTCTATCCCTCTCTGTAAAAAATATATATATTTTTAAAAAACCCACTATTTAAAAAAAAAAAATCTTGCCTAGGAGAGGCTTTACAAACAGAGGCTCAGGGTCTGAGGCCGAGGCCCTGAAGGAGGGCAGGCAAAGGACAGACAGGCGTCGGCCCTGCCCTGGCCTGGCCCTCAGTCTTGCCGTCCCAGGCCACACGCTCCATCTCCCTGCCACCCTCCCCCCCCCCCCCAGCTGGCGGGGACAGGACATCACCCCCTCAGCCCGTGGAGGGATCCAGCACAGCTGGCGGCGCACGTGTGTGTGTGCAAGGGCCACGTGCCTGTGCGTACGCACGTGTGCACGCACACACACACACGGACTTGCCCCAAGGCCCTAGCCTCCTCCCTGTGTGTCCACACGTGTGTCACACACCTATCCGAGCCTCGGCGGCTCCCTGCTCTACCTCCGCCTTGTGTGGGAGAGCCTCTGCGTGTGAGAGAGGGCAAGAAGCTTCCAGAACAAACACACTGCTCATGTATTCAGCCCCTCACTCCCCCGTGGCCCCACGCGGCACAGGGTCTGGGGGATGTCACATTAGCAATAGTGACCCTGTAAGTGACAGCTCGCAGAAGGCGGGCGCTGTGCTGAGGGCTTTGCACACGTGAACTCGTTTAACCCCCATCATGAGCTCGGAGGCAGGTGCTAGGGTTACAAACCGGGAAAGCGAGACACAGGATGTTAAGGAACGGCCCACGGGCACGCAGAGTCCGTGGCAGGGTTTGCACTCGGCAGGCTGGCTCCCGGGCTGTCAGACCACAGAGAGCCCAGCGAGACGTGAGCAGCAGCGCCAGGCTGCGCCCCAAAATGCAGGGCAGCCCCAGGACGGGCCTGGCACATGGGCTGGGCTCCCGGACGCCCTGCTCTGAGAACCAGTGGGCCTGGGAGCTGCCCTGAAAGACAGTGTCCCTGTCTCGATGGGGCCAGCCCAGCGGTGGTGCCCCCGCCCCTCTCACACTCCGCTGCCTTGCTCTGGGGCAGCAAGCAATGGGCTGGCTTCAGGAGGGCAGGTCATGCCACTCCTGTGCCTGGTCCAAGCCACCCTCATGCCACCCATCACCCAGGCTGACATTCCAGGCCCAGACCGCCCCTCGGTCCAGCAGCTACTTCGGCCTCCACCTTCAGTGCTCTTCAGCCGGCTCTACCTGCCTCAGCCGGCTCCCACCTGCCCACCAGCACATCTAGGGTAAGGTGACCAGACGTCCCACTTTTGGCAGGACAGTCCCGATTTTTAACAATTTGTCCCGCGTCCCGCAGCATTTTTTTTAAAAAGTCCAAAAGATTTAAAGAATCTTTCCAAAAACTGGGACTTTTTAAAAATGCCGAGGGATGCGGGACAAATTGTTAAAAATTGGGACTGTCCTGCCAAAAGCGGGACGTCTGGTCACCTTAATAGGGACAGACTGGAGGCCAGCTCTCCCAAGCACCCCCTCACCAGGCCTCCCCTGACCCCCTAACGCCCGCCTGCTCTCCGGCCGCCAGGCCCCACAGCAGTCACTCAGCCGGGACCACCCCCTCCATCTCTGAGCCTTCTCCCAGGGAGCTCTGCTCATCCTGCAGGAGCATGAGATGTCACTTCTTCCCAGCGCATCCGGCCAGCTCTCCCCCTCCCAGAATCCTTCCCTCCCTCCCTCGCTTCCTTCTCCCCTTCAGTCCCGATCTCTGAGCTCACTGAGGATTTGCTCTGCGTCAGTCACCTGGGGCCTATGGATGCTCAGGCTCCTAGAGCTTCCTTAGCGCTAACCACTGACTGCCCCGCTGCAGGGCGAGTCCGCGTCCCCCGCTGCGTCCGCCAAAGCGGAGGAGACAGCACGTCCTCTGCTCAGAGACGGGTTCGCTCTGTCTGCCCGCTCGGCCTGGCCTCCCAGGTCTCTGCAACCTCAACCCAACTCCAAAGAGGAGCCACCAGCCGGGCCTGGGTCTGGCCACCACCCCCCATCCCAGCTCATCCCTGTGACCCCCAACTCCCTGTCCCCAGACCTTTCCCCAGACCTTCCCACGGCTCTCCCAGTCCATGGGAGTCCATTCAGAGCCAGCCCTCCCTCAGCAACCCGTCACACCCTGAGTTCAGATCCCACCAGGTTCGGGCTACAAACACTGGCCTGTCCAACCTCTTCCTTTTTATATTGTGGGTTATTGTTTTTTTAATTATCAATCACCCAGACGTATCATAACAAATCAGAAAAGAGACAACAACCATCAAAAAAGAAAGGAGCTGAAACCGGTTTGGCCCAGTGGATAGAGCGTCGGGCTGCAGACTGAAAGGTCCCGGGTTCGATTCCGGGCAAGGGCATGTACCTTGGTTGTGGGCACATCCCCAGTAGGAGGTGTGCAGGAGGCAGCTGATTGATGTTTCCCTCTCATCAAGGTTTCTAGCTCTCTATCCCTTTCCCTTCCTCTCTATAAAAAAAAAAAAAAATCAATAAAAATATATTAAAAAGAAAAGAGATCTTTCACAATCCCACCACCAAGAGTCAGAGATTTTGCCCTCAGCCTCTCCGAGAGGCGAGAGGCCCAAAGAAGGAAACAACTTGCGCAGGGTCACACAGCAAGTGAGACGCCGGGCACAGGAGCCAAGCCTCTGGCTGTTCCCCCTGAACACTGGTGGCTTTGCCCCAGCGGCCTCTGGCCACCTCAGCGCCCACTGCTCTCTGCCCACAGCTCCACCCTCAGCCCCTCCCCACCAGGCCTTCGTGGGCTGCAGACAGGGACCGCTGAAGTGCAGAATGCTGTCAGACGCGGTGCTGATGCTAGCATGCCCCTGAACTAGCGGCCCACTACATACAACATGCCCCTACACACACACACACACACACACACACACACACGCTCTGGCCCAGCTGAGGGACCCCGTGCCAGGGAGGCACAGAGCTCTAGCTTCCCGATTCTCTCTGTCAAGAGGTTTGACTGCACATGACCCCCCTCCCCAGCCCCAGGTGGTCTGTGTGCCCGAGGAGAGTGTGAGATTGATTACCTGTGGAAAACTTCTTTACTAGCGTGAGAGGATCGTGGTGGATCTCAGAAAGGACTTCCAGGAGGGAGAGAGGGCTGTGAAAAGCTGGTGTAGGGGACGGGGAGTGTGCAAACGGGGCCCCAGGCCAGATCTGCTAAAGGCCAAAGGCCGCGGGGTAGGGCCGGGCGGGAGCAGCCAGAGGACGGGTCGGAGGCTGGGGACTGGGAGCAGCAAGTGGCTCCTCCAGGCAGGGACTGCCCTCCGGCACCGGACAGAGAGGAAGGCTCGGCCCGGCCCCGGCCGCCCCTCCTCTGGGAGAGCCGCTGGGTCTGCGTCCCCCTGGCTGCTCCCACCGGCCCCCACTCCACCTCAGACCCCGCTGGGCCAGCCTGGGGTGGAGGTCGGGAAGGGAAAGAGGAGGCAAAGCTCTGCAGACACCCCATCTCATCAGCACCGGCCTTGTGTCCCGCGGGCAGGGGTCCTGTGACCCCCCCCCCCGTCCGCTTTGGGGCCACAGCCCAGCGCTGGGGGAGCCCCCTCTCCAGGGGGACCTCTGTGTCCTTCCAGGAAGACAGCTTTGGTGCCTCCATCCTCCCTCCCTCCCTCTGTGTTTGGGAAAGTGGGGTCCCCGTCCACCTGCCACAGCCCACAGAGTTCCTGGCCTCCTGCGGACAACACCCCCAACACCCCCACTCCCAACCCCGACCTCACCCCCAACCCCGACCTCACCCGCCAGTGGGTCCCTGCCCCTGCCCCCAGCCCCGGCTCCCGGCCCCCGGCGTCCTACCTGCCCGGGGCGCGGGGCTCAGCGCCCGGGCGGCGCCCCGGAGCACCAGCACCAGCAGCCAGAGCTGCCCCCGCATGGTGGGCGCAGGACCGCCGCCCGCGGCGCCCGGAGGAGGCGGCTGCCCGGGAGGAGGCGGCGGCAGCCGGTCCCGCGGCGGAGGGAGGAGGCGGCGGAGCGCGGGGCGGACGAGGGGAGGGAGCGGCGGCCGGAGGGGCGGGGCGGGGGCGCGGCGCCTCGGGGTCCCCAGGCGCCCGGCCCGGCCCTCGGCGCCCGCAGCCGCTCCAGGACGGGGCGGGGGACCCCAGGACTGAGCGGACCCCGAAGAGCATCAGCTGTCCGTCCCCTCCCACGCCCCCGGGAAGCCGCGGGGAGGAGATGGACCAGAGCCGGGAAGAGGGTCCTGGGTCCGTGCCCAGCTCCACCTGGGTTTCCGGGCTGCTCCTCGGAGTTCCTTGGGTGCCCACCCCCACCCCGGGGATCTCCCTTCCGGCAGAGACCCACCGCTCCCGGCCCAGCAGAGGCCTGACCCCCCACCCCCGGCTGCTGTCCGCTGTGCCTCGCGCACCCCCATTCCCAGCGCCGTGTGCCCCCAGCCCGGCACCTGCGGGCGGGGGGCCTGGCTCACCTCCATTTCAGACGGATTGGACCTCTCCCTGTTCCTAGAAGGTAGCCCAGGCCACCCCCCGTGGGGACCCCAGGCCTTCTCAGGGCCCCAGAGCAAGAACACAGTTCACCCCCGCCCCCCACCCCACCTCTCCCGTATGACAGGCTCTGGGGATAGATTTTTTTTTTTTTCCTTCCAGGACAGAATAAAAATACCCGCGATTTAGATTTAATAGACGGCGAGAAACCAGGTCAGGACTCGGAAGGCAGCCCGTGACCTACTTCATGTGACGGCAAGGAGTTCGGGTGCTGGAGAAGGGGAGAGCGGGGCGCGGGGGGCACCCCGGCTTCTGCCGGCCGGCGGTCTAGGAACTGGAAAAGCGCAGAGAGGGGTGCGGACTGAGCGTCTCTGGGGGATCCCCCAGGAGGAGGGACGTGCGTGGGGACCAGAGAAGAAACAATGTGAGCTGGGATTAAAAAAAAAAAAAAAAAAAAAAAAGAACTCAAGGCTCTCTAATTTTTCAGAATCCCAGGTCCTCCTCCCTCAGGACTGAGGCTCCCAAAACGAACTCCCCCAGTCCTAAAAGTCCTAAACCCTCTGTTCCCTTCCGGAGCAACAAGGCGAGGCCAGTCTGCAACTCCTGGTCTAATGTAAGTCCAGGCTTTGCAGACTCTTCAATAGGATCAAATAGGCCGCCGCTTCCAGCTTCGGCCTCTTGCTGCCACCTAGTGGCCACATGACGACCCGCCACCTGCCCAGACGCTGTCCGCCGGCTCCGGCTCCGGCGCCCCTACCTCCTGGGAAGTCCCTGCCTTCGGAGAGTTCCCAGGGCGTGTGGGACTGCGGCTCCGGCCTGCGTCTCTCTGTGCATTCCCCAACTCGGGGGGCCTCGCAGTCTCTTTTTTATAAAGTCTGCAAGGGCTCAGGCGGAAACAGCAACCTGGAATTAATGAGGAGCAAATAACATGTAAATGTTTTTAAAATGTAAACCTGTAGAACTTGGACGTAGATCAGAATCGCCTGGGGAACTAATTTTAAAACAGGTTTCCGGGCACCACCCCCAAGTTTCTAATTCAGAGGTTCTGGGTTTAAGACCGAGAACCTGCATTACTACCATTTCCCCAGATGGTGGTGCTGGTCCCCAGGATCGCAATTGAGAGCCACTGCCGTAGAATTCTTGTTCCTTGCACTCTAGTCGCTTTTCATTTGCCGAAAAGAGAGGTATCGAACAAAATTTCAAATATAAAATTGTGGAAGGAGAAAGGAAAAGCTTTAAGGAAAATTATCGCTTGTTTTACCTGGAAAAGGTGAAGCCAGGGGGCACCCGGATTTGAACCGGGGACCTCTTGATCTGCAGTCAAATGCTCTACCACTGAGCTATACCCCCTCTGCCAGGGACGGCGCCGCAGAAAGCCTCTTAACACTGCATCTACAAGTCGCCGCGAAGAGAAATAGGGTCTAAGGTTTATAGCAGCGGGAAAGGACATGAATCTCAAGCGAATACCCATCTGAATGCACGGTTTGTTTTCTGAAGCCCTGAGATTAAGGCTTCTACTGACGGTGTAAGAAAAAAACAATTTGAACATGAGGAGTCCCTGGAGATCTTTCGAGATCCCTCACTTCCGGGAGTTCCTTTGGGCAGCGATCCCCTTCTTTTTGCCCTGCTATCGCCCCCTTACTGCTGCTCACCGCCCCTCTCTCCTTCCTACACTGTTTCGCGGATTTCTCGGGGCCTTCCTTTCCCAGCCTAAGCCTCGTCCATAGAAACTAAGCCTCCCTCCCTAAGAACGGCCCTCGGGTCACTGGCCAGGCCGACCTGGGAGTGTGCCCACCTGCCCCTGCCGAGGAGAGGGGGCCTTAGGTACAGTCCACATGGGTCAACCGGAGGTCCAAGTCCTCCCTCGTAATGCACTCTTAGACACGCTACAGTCCGCATGGACCAACCGGAAGGTCCAAGGCCCCTCCCAATGCAATCCACTCTCAGACACACTCGCAACTGGGCTTGTGGGTTGGGCAGGGCCTGGGCCTCCGTCCTCAGTGACTGCAAAAGAGGTGGCAGGGCCAGAGGCCGCAATCTCCTGCCGCCTCTAAGAGGATTTAAAGATTGGGTGCAGAACCAAGAAAACTGGAAAAACCTGGGTGTGCAGAGGGGGCACCCGGATTTGAACCGGGGACCTCTTGATCTGCAGTCAAATGCTCTACCACTGAGCTATACCCCCACCTCGTAATGACGGCTTTGTTAGGATCATTTTCTCTGGAATAAGGACATGGTATTGTGTTTTTATTTGAGGATTAAGCCGGAATAACTTAATGGGACTGCTAGGATTCCTGAGTTCTTCCTTCACAATCGCGCCTCAGGAAAACCATCTCTGGTTCTGTGGAGTAGTAATAGCGCTGCCCCCTGTATGTGGGGCAGCCTGGGCTTCTATCCTGTCTGCAGCTCAACCTAAAAAGGACGCCTGAGCTTTTCCAAACCCTAAGAACCCACACTCAAGCAGGCAGAAATAAGAAGTGAGTCCTTTTCAATGCCATTTATTACACCTTTATTTAAAAATTTTAAAACTCTAATACAATGCAAAACAAAATCAATACAAAAGGACAAACAAGACGCCCAGGTACTCTGGAATCCTGGGTCATTGGGCAGGAGTGGGGTTTACATTGGAAGGACGCTGGGAGTTAAGGGCATAGTTGGTGTGGCCTAAAGCGCAAAAGCTGTGGGAGCCAGAGCCAGCACCTCAGGGAATGGGAAGGTGGGAGGAGTGAACTCCCTGCAGAGCCAAGAACTGTTCCCAGTCCCACTCCCTCTCCCTTCCCAGCTGCTTTCGGTCTGCCTTCCTTCCCCTGAACCCACCCCCTTTACCTTCTAGAATAATCCTTTGCCCAAAGATGGCTGAGGGGCCAGAAAACTGGGGTGGGGGTGAGGGGTTTAGGGTGGAGGGTGGAGGTGGGGAGGGTTCTAGGGAAGAAAGATGTCTCTTTCTCTGCCCCTCCATTTCGCCACTCCCTGATCCACCCAACATCTCCGGGTGTTCCCAAGAAGGACGCCCGCTTCCCTGGACCGAGGGGCAGCTTCGCCTGTGTCCTGTCTGCAGCGACTCAGGGTATCCAGTCTAGCTCCTCTGTGGGGAGTTAGGTGGGCAGTGGCTTCTCCCTGTCCATCGCTGTGCCTGCTCCCACCAGAGAGAGAATCATAGAAAAGTAATAGTCACTTGGGTTTTCCACCCAAGTAGTCCCTGCTAAACCCTGAAGTTCCTGGCTGGCGTCCGACTGGGACATCAGTTGGCAGTGGCCCGAGACTGCATCCACTGGAGCCCAGCAAGCAGCCTGCAGGTCGGGAGGGATGGAGCAAGGATCAGTATGTCCCATGAGGATGATGGCCTTTAAGCCCCCAGCCCCTGCCTAAAGCCAACTGGATGGGGCAGCTGACGTTACAGCAATCTTTCAGTCAATAATATAGACAGGCTGAGTGTGTACTATAATAATAATAATATAGACAGGCTGAGCATGTACTATGCACCAGCTACTGTGCTAGGCACTGTGGTTACTGGTGAAAAAACAGACATGCCCTCTGCCGTTTATATCCAACAGAGGAGGTAGATATTAAACAAATGATCAGGCAAATAATTTCATAACTGCATACTGTGATAAAGGTTAGGAAGGAGATGCACAGAGGCCTCTGGATGACTGGGAATCAGCGGGACTTCTCTACGGGAGGGGCCTGGAGACCTGCCTTAGCAATGTCTTTGGGCAAATCCCAGTGCCCCCTTTCCACCCACTCCATCGAAGGAGGCAGGGCCAGGGTGACCTCAAAGGCCTGGGAAGAGACCTCATAAGCAAGTCCTCCCAGTAGACTGTTAGCAACACCAGAGCAAAGGGGGAGAATAGGGTGGTCTTGGTCATGACTTTAGCACCTGGCACAGTGCCTGGCACATGGGGGCACTTAGGAAATGCTGGTTGAATTGAACTGACTGTGGGTGGGGGGTGAGGGTGTTCTCTTGACCCAGGAGGTAGCAGGAGACCACCAGAAATATGTGGTTCCTTGGCTGAGCTGACCAGAACCTCCCCTTCTTTAAAGGAAGGGCTCTCTCCAGACGGGGTACGGGCCCTTTCTATATGACCGTGACCTAGTGCCTTCACATCCACACCCCTCCCCCCAAGTACTTCCAATCTTCTTTCCTCCCTGACTTCCCCCCAGCACTTAGCACTTTTTAACTTACTACATATATTTTAATTTTTATTGTCTGTTTCCTCTCCCCCCCGCAACCCCCCAACCCCACTCCCCCGGGAACGTAAGCTCCATGAGGGCAGGTGTTTTTGTCTGTTGTGTTTAGCGGTGTTTCTCCGGGCCCCAGAACAGTGCCTGACACAAGTAGGTGCTTACTACACGTTGAATGAATGAACGTTATCACTTACTCTCTACAGAAACTCTGGGAGGAAGTAGATTAAATCACCCTCCTCCTTACAGGTCAGGA